AGGCCCATGTGCCACACCGTAGAAAGCTGCAATTTTTCATTTCCCCTTGGGATAATAGGAGGTTGGTAAATAATAATAATAATAATAAAAACCTTTAGCCCTGGAATGCTTCCATATTTAAGCTGAGTAGTGTAGCTACTTTAGAATCCTACAAATCCATACACATCTAATTATAATGAAGCCACACTGAACTTCTATCTAGATAATGTCCATGCAATACAATACAAATGCACTTCTAAATATCATTGCCTTTAGAAATGATGAGAAATGCGTATCTGAATGTGATTATTTAAAATTCAATATGCTTTCTTACTGGAAAATTGAACCTCTCTTTTGTATACTATTTAAAATACCACTTTGAGTTTGCAGGCATGAAAAATATAATTTCTTTCCCATTTCACAGTTGGAAAAACTGAATTACAGAGAACAATCCTAGTAATTATCCATGATTAATAGAGGTGTGTATGTAAATCAGCCTGAATAAGTGTGTGAAATGAGATGTGCCGATGCCAGATAGCTCTGCTCGTGTTTTTAAAAAGATGAATGCTTCCATATAAATCTCTGTGAGTTGGCATACATCTTTCCATGTGTTGAGCATATCTGAAAATAGACTTTGTTAAAATGCATGCATATTAAAGTGGCTCAGTGTTATAATACATAAATTAGATGAAGGTTTAAAATTCATTAGACGCCTATCTAATGAACAGGCACGTATACACTGTGGTAATTTACAGTGCTGTATGAATTTATATATGTGTCTGGCTAAGAAAATAGTAGACTTGAATTTGGGTGTGCTTTGATCATAAAAAAGGGTGGGAGAATGTTCATGTTTTGTCGGTAGTGTTTGGGGCATTAATGATTGAGTAAAATTCTTACAACTCTATTGGTGCCTGCAAAGCCCCATAGGTACGTTACCTATCGCTGTTAGTATTGCTAGCACCGTTATTAGAGCAGGTGAAACTGCTGTTCCATTAAGAGGCTGAAGACAGATGTGTTCTCACTCAAACCCTGCATGCAAACTGTTGGGATTGTCCAGTGGTCAGTGTGACATCTGCTCAGGACTTTTCCCCATTTTTCTGCCCAATCCTTCTGGAGTCTGGGTTTAAGAACCAACCCTGGGCGTGCCGAGAGAGGACAAGTACATCTCCTCCTCCTCCCATGCGTAGAATTGGGCTCATCTAATGCCACGAGCACACCAGCCTCCCTCTGGGAAGGTACATGCGTGACTGGTTTCAGCTTTCTGAAAACATGGTTTGTTTGTGGGTTGGACGTTTAATGTTTTTTTCTGCTTTAATTTTGGGGGGGCTTTGTTTTATTTTCAGAGAGAACTTTCGACAGCTGTATTAATCATGCAAACCCAGCCATGTGCAATGCATTTTATCAATGGAAAAACAGGGACTGAATGGCAAGCAGCTGTGAACAAGCCCAGTGCAACGCCTGAATGTGGAAGATAATCTCAACATTTCCCAAGCCCACTTGCCACACGGAGTTAGTGAATGGAAAGGCTGTTCACTTGGGATAAATCATCAGATGGGAGGCAAAGCAGTGAGACACATTCCAGGGTGTGTTTTTTTTTTTTCAAAGAGGCAGTGAAAGGAGAAAGATGGGCTGGTTGAGCACACAGCCCAGAGCTCAGGGGACTTTCTCACGTGAGAGCTCTGGGAACAAGAGTGGTTTCTTCTTGTCCTCTTCACTTCCTTATGTTGGTTTTAACTTTCTGAGGATGGATTCATCACCCAACTCAGAACCTATGGTGCTCATGCTAAGGACATGTGTGGATGCATGTTCCCCATACAAAGGCAGGCTATGCGATGGATGGGGGGAGCACACCTGGCTGCCGGGATCCAGAGGCCAGCAGCCACATGAACCAAAGTAAGCAAAGCTCTCTCAGATACTTAGAGTCAACTCTTTTCTCATTTTACAATTCAGTGGATTTTCTGCAGTAATATAGTCAGAGCTGTTTATGCAAATCTATGCAATTCAGGACTCATTTCAAAATTAAATCTAAGTTAAAATTAATGGGAGAAAACACCTATCAGAAACAGATGAAGGATGGAATACTATATCTCTAAAATTAAGAAGCAGAGAAGTAACACTTTCTTTTTGTTTCTGTTTCTTTGGATTTTGCTTTTGGCAGACAAGGAAAGGACTTTTGAAAATCTGATTGGGCAAAGCCAATCAATACACATTTCCCTTTGGTAGAATGCCGGTATTATTATTATCGCTGCAGAAAATCAAGCAATAAGATGAAGGAAACCCAGGGGAAATGCATTATGATTTCCAGAGACTTGTTTTTTGTTGAATCACAGCTTGAAGGGGTTTGGGACCACATTCCTGCTGCGAGGCTGCTGTGCACCCCCTGTCAGTTTGATAAGCCCCGCCGGGTGGGGATGAGAGAGGCGGCCCTCCAGTGAGACATGGTAACAATGGAGCCACCAAAATGAATTACATATTTCTGTTAGGTTGGAAATGGGGAGCCTATGTTGACTCTTTGTATCACAGGAAGACAGAAAAAAGAGCTTTGTGGCTTTCTGCCTACCCAGCACCTTCAGGAAATTAATTGGCTCAAAATTCTTCAGTCCATTTATATCCAGCAATTGCTTAGAGACATGATTACAGTTAGGAAATAAAATATAGGATTCAGTATGGACCATGACAATTTATGATATTTAATTCAATGAAGGTAGCTTAAATTAAGAGACCACAGTGACTTTTTTTGTTGTTCAGTGTTTGGGTACTTAATGGGCACCGTGAAAAGGATTAGGCATCCCGTTGGTTTAGTATTTTTTCCCTGGTGAACTGCATTCAAAATGGGTAGCCTCTTGATTCCCAAGAGAAAGAGAAAAGTGACCCAATCCCTACGAAGTTAATGTCCTGGGAGGGTAGCGTTCACTTGGAGGGAACTCTTTGCATAGGCGTCTCTCATGCCAGCTGTCCCAAGCCTGGAATGAACAGCTTTTCGATCGCTACCAGCAGAAGCCCAAAGTATTAGTTGTAAGGTAAGCTACAATCTGCCAAAACTACTGAATCTAAGAAATTGAACTACAGTCTACTGACAATGCGGAAATCAAACTAGGGTCATTCTCCAAGCAACAGTTCAGTCTGTGGGAAATGCCAAGTTCAACAAAATCCGCATGCATCGGCCTTGTCCAGACTGTTTTTCAATATCCGATAGCTGTCCTCTGTGAATAGTGTCTAGCTTCATCTTGCTTGGTGTTGTGAAAATCATAATACATGATCTGGTAAATATTAAGGCTTGTGGCTGCAAAAGTAGCCTATAAAGACATGTGGCATCACAGTGATACAGTTCAAAGCTCATCTTGGGTGGAGTATGCCCTCTTTGAAAATGTTATCCAATGGAACTAGTGTGCCTGTGCATTTTTTTTTTCATGTCAAGCTATTTGTAAGATGGCAACATGATAAAATGTTGTCAGTCACTTCAGCCACGCTAGAAGATAAATATCTTAAAATAATCGTGGCATGTCAGGAATTCAAACTGGGATATTTTCTGTGAATACTAAGTTTGGTTGGAAGTCTGAAAACCTGCACATTTCAGCATTTTTATTTTTAGTGAGTGGAATAAGAGACAGATTTCATTAATGTTTTAGGAAAATTTTTTATTCGAGTTCTTCTGAGCTTTTATGCTAAGAAGAGTTTGGATCCTTCTTAAAATTTAAGAATAACTTTTATTAAGCTGTCTAGTTGTTCCTGGCAAACTATAGTCCTCATTTCAAGTGGAATTAAAACAAGTTTTACATATGTATACATTCGCATATATGCAAACATTGCAGTGTTGACAATCTGAATGTCTACATAGAATTTTGCTCTAATTTTTAATTTGGATGAGTGTTAATACAATATGATCTCTTTAAAGGTATAAAACATTGGCTTTCTATCTTTAATTCTGAGGATATTTCCTTTATAGCGTGTATTATACTCTTGCTTAATTGGATTTATTTTTTTTTACACTAGGCCCTGCATGACCTAGTTCCAATTTTTTTTCTCAGGTCTTTGAGTGCTATTTGCAAATCACTTTTCTGGAATTTAATTTCAATGGTAGGTTGGTTTCATTTCAGAACTTTTGAGGGTATTGTTTTAATTTTATTTGCCAATTTGTCTTTAAATAGCCTTAAGCTAGAAGTGGTGGTTGCACCTTGCATGTCAATGTGAGACAAGAGGCAAAGTTTAATTTAAGCATTTTGAAACTTCTAGGAAAAGGAATATAGAATAATATAATTTTGTTTATATTCCAAGATGCTTATGCTTTTAAGGGAAAATTCTTATGAATTGGACAATATTGTAAGAAAAGGTAATTAACATGATATAATCAGGTTGACTTTAACTTTGGGCTACATCTAAGTTCATTTTTATTAAAAATTATCAGTGAGGGCTGGCGGCGTGGCCTAGCAGCTAAAGTCCTCGCCTTGAACGCACCGGGATCCCATATGGGCGCCGGTTCTAATCCCAGCAGCTCCGCTTCTCTTCCAGCTCCCTGCTTGTGGCCTGGGGAAGCAGCTGAGGACAGCCCAAAGCCTCGAGACCCTGCACCCGCGTGGGAAGAGCTCCTGGTTCCTGGCTTCGGATCAGCATAGCACCTGCCGTTGCGCTCACTTGGGGAGTGAATCATTGGACGGAAGATCTTCCTCTCTGTCTCTCCTCCTTTCTGTATATCTGACTTTCCAATAAATAAATAAATCTTTTCTAAAAAAATTATCAGTGACTTTAGATTTACACGCCTATCAACTTCCAAATGTGGAGTAGAGGACTATGTCACACACTGATGATTTCTGCCCATCATAATTTCTTGTCAGCTGGTGTGGGGGACGACTGATGGTCTTTCTTTTCATGACTCAATGTAATGATCTGTTCCTATTGTATATGAGGTTTCTGAATGTTTCTTCCTTTCTCGTGAGTTTTCTACAGAATAGATGTTGGAGAATGACCCAGTGACAGAACTACAGATCCACTGAGAGAACTACAGTGATAAAAATCATACTGACCTTGAACAGGGTGGGGGATAGTGGGTAACACACGCTCTAAAGGGAAAAATAGGAAGCATCATGCAGAGTTTCAACATAATTATATATAAAGTGAATATGTGTATACTATATCTTAGGTTTAGCTTTCCAAACAATCATAAGGCAGATGAACTTCCATGCCTAAACAATAATTTCCACAAAGCATTTGCCTGCCCTTCCAGTGAACACTGAAGATCAAACAGAGCTATTAGCAAAATGAAAATTACAAAGTACTGAAAAAAATAAGATTGAGGTAGGCCTGAATTCAGAACCATACCTTCTGCAGGAAAGATTTCCCAATGAGATTTTAGATCTCTTAGAGAAGAGCATGTTTATAGTCGTGATCAAGTTCAGGTGATGTCTCTTGGTCCTGGTTCTTGCCTCTTTAGCTCCTAACAAGTGGAACGTGGAATCCCTTGACTCCTTTAATCTTCCTAGCCCTGTAGTGCCTATCAGAATAGCCAAGAATCTACAACACGTATTTTAAGCAGCACTAAATCAGGCCCGGCGGCGTGGCCTAGTGGCTAAAGAGCTCGCCTTGAAAGCCCGAGGATCCCATATGGGTGCTGGTTCGAATCCCAGCAGCTCCGCTTCCCTTCCGTGTTTCCTGCTTGTGGCCTGGGGAAGCAGCTGAGGATGGCCCAAGGCCTTGGGACCCTGCACCCGCGTGGGAGACCTGGGAGAAGCTTCTGGCTTCGGATTGGCGCAGCACCATCTCCCCCTTCCTCCCCTCCCCTTCCTCCCCCTCCCCTTCCTCCCCCTCCCCTTCCTCCCCCTCCCCTTCCTCCCCCCCTCCCCTTCCTCCCCTCCCCTTCCTCCCCTCCCCTTCCTCCCCCTCCCCTCTCCCTCCCCCCCCCCCTTCCCCCCCCCTCCCCTGCCTCCCCCCTCCCCTTCCGCCCCCGCCCCTCCCACCCCCCTCCCCTTCCTCCCCCTCCCCTTCCTCCCTGTCGTCTCGTATCTGAGTTTGTAATAAAAATATGACCAAAGTAATGAAAATAATGACCAAAGTATACATTAGTCTATAATGCACCTGAAATTGATCAATAAAATTTGGTTGATGATACTTGTTGCTGAGAAGTGTTTTTCTTTTGAATTCAGGATATGAGCTTACAAAAGTTTCTCACAATCTGAAGCTTAAGTCAAGCATGTTGATAGAATATCCCTCTGAAGGAGCCTTAGAGGAAGATCTAATATTTAACATATGGCTGTATTAAGCCCAAATTCTAAGTATAGGATGCATTATTTGCTACCCCAAACATTATGAGGATATTTCAAAAAGTTAAGGAACGCATGTACCATGTTTCATCTCCATTTCTTCATGAGCTTTCTTTAACTTTGCTAGTATAATATGAAAATGATTGACATGTTTTTTCACATTTGTACACAGTTAAGTCCAATGGGAAATGAAGAACAACAGATATCAAAAGCAAAGAGAAAAACACATCAATATGTACAAATGTGATCTGCCTGCAATCTTACATGGCAAGCTTAGGGGGAAAAAAAAAGATTTTACCTGGACTTTGCTATGATTGAAGTTGACACACCTGTATATTGAACAAACTCGGTCTCCTTGCAGAGTGAGATTTTGTCTAGTCTGACTGAAAGTTGAGGCTAAAAGTGAAAGTTTTCTAAGTGTATTAAGCTGGAGCAAGTCAATAATAGCTCAGTGAACAACTGTATCTCAGTTACACAAGTGTCAAGTAGAAAAATGGTTTAAACATTCACTGAATATTTGGTATTAAGTTTCCAACTTTGAAAATAAATAGCTAAACAGCCCTCAGCATTTATGTAGCAGCTGGAGACCACCGTCCCATATTATACTCCTTGTGCTGTATTTTATTTTTATTACTACCATTATTATTCAGTCTGTTTAAATGACTCAGCTTAATATTTTCTCATCACACTGTTCACAGCTGGTCAAGTGCACTCTGCCCTCATTTCCAGAAGACCATTTGTAGTGCTGAACCATCTACCCACCCGCCCCTTTTCAATAGCTTCCCAGTTGTTATTATCGTCTTAAGTCCACCCTATTATCATCATTTTAGACCTATCATGCCCCATTAGTCATTCTTTTTCCCTTAATTCTATCCTATTGACTTATCTTTCCTTAGATGTTTCCACTCCCAGCTTTTTTCTCTTATTCTTTCACCATTATTCTGCTGCTGTTTTGTAGTTAATACCAGGATTTATGGGATCCCATAAGAGGATAAAGTAAGCACCACTTAAAAAAGATTTCCAACTTTGGATCTTTAAAATGAAGAGAAGGCCAGAAGCTTCGTGCCTTTTGTGTTTCCTTGGCCTGCTGATATTCAACATAGCACAACAGCTGGTTGGAAGTCTAAAGAATGGAATGCTAAGCTTTACTCTAGTGCTTGGTGAGCGCTGCAACTCACGCATGGCTGGCGTTCAAATCTCAGGTGTAACCATTTTGCTATGCAGCACGTACAAGTGGCTGGTTAAAAGAGTTTGGCAAATTTCAGCCAGCATAATCAAATGGTGTGTGATTAAATATCAAGGCCCTGAGATGGTAACTTAAAATTCTGTTTGAAATAGAGGAGGAAGCTTTTATTATAAAGAATCACTAGCACTAGGTTTTCTAACACGAAGTTATCTAATTACTGGAAATGAGGTTGGGGTGGCAGAGCAGAGCTTTTAGAAGGCAAGGGAAATAAAAACGGAAGCAGAGCAGTCAGCAGAGGTAAGGTAGGAAAGAGGAAGGATGGAACAATTAAGATACTACTTCACCTCTCAACTACAAAACACAGGTTCTAATACTTTTGCCTACGTGCACACTTAGGTAATATATTGGTCTAGAGACGCTGGGAACGCAGTATTTCAAGTTCAAATTCTGCCTTACTTAGTTGTGCTAATTACTCAACCTCTCAAATAATGGAGAAAAATGAGTAGCTAGCAGGATTTCATTATGACTGAGATCACATATAGGAAATATTTAGCACGGTACAGACAATACTACAAGCACTCAGTTGGTAAGAAGTGATGACACTTAGATCGTCATCCTTATTCTTCCTTTCTACCCACTGCATTAAACTAACTCTATATATGTGTTGAAACATAATGGACCTATCACTTTTGTGGGTGCATCCTGGTCATTCGTGTGGAAACACAGAATCTGTTTCACTGCATGTGTAGACAATGCTACCTCCCTTGGCATCATCAGAGGCCCAGTACTTCCTCTATGTGAAGCATTGTCTGCTGGATGCATTGCTTTCTCCTTTGTCTTGTTCTCCACACAGGCTGCAGTCTGTCATATACTAAGTGTGTTAATCCAAGTGATACCACTTTAGGCCAAATGTTAAGACAGACATTAATCTGACTCTGTATTTTTTTTTCTGAATGGTGTGATCCAATTCCATAACAGGAATGAGCAAAGATAAAGCTGCTTAGTGTTTGTCACAGAGACAGTGCTTCACACAGAGGAAGTCTTGGACTAGGAATACAGCGTTTCCTTGCACACCCATTCAATGAGATTGAACCCTTTGGAGATCAGTATTAAATAGAGTGGAGATGTATATGCATGTTGCAGAGGCTAAGTGACCATAAATTGACACTGTGTAAAAAGTCAGCACCTCCCTTCAATGGATGTGATTGGAATGTGCTGACCGACCAGCAATGGTGAATAATCACAAACCCTTCAGGGGCTCAGGCTCTGGGCCTCAACCTGCTACCTCTGCGTTACAGCAGCTTGCCAGCTGCCGTGTCTGCTCCGAACAGGCTTGGGCAGCAGAGTGTCCTGCTGCCCACACAGTGCTTCCATCAGGTCCACGGCTGCAAAGAATAAGCTGTGAGCACCTTTCTGCCCTCCTGACAGTGTCCTGAGGAAAAGTACCATGACCTTTGCTTGCACAGTATCTTCCTTCCTTCCATGAATCTCCTTGACTTTGGATCTAAGCAATGGGCCATTTGCTCATACACATACCCGTACTTTCCTTTTCCTTTTTTCCCCCCACTGCTCCTCTCCTTCTCACTTCCCTCCATATTTCTCTCACTCACTTTTTCCTTGTGTCAAAAACACAATCCTACAGCCCAACAGGCTTCAACAATGCACCGACTATTCCTCACTGGTGGTAGTAGAGTTGGTGCTGCCATAGGAGTAGCGCTATTGTTAGAAAACGAGCGGGGTATCCTGTTCAAAATGTACATATGTGGGCTTTGGTTCCAGGAGGTGACAGATTAACATTTGGAACTATTTAAATAGCTTTTCCATTTCAGAACCCAATGGTCTCTCTGTCCATTCATCAGTAAGAAGTGCCATAATCAATCCCTAACTAAATGCGTTGCGTGTGTCGCCTCTGAATGCTACCAACTCGCACTGCTACTGTCTGTGTGCTGTTGTGAGCTGTTTGCTGTTCTACCGGGAGATATCCCAAGCCATTGTCACTGTGCCTAGCACTGGTGTTGCTAGCTCTCATCTAATTCACAGCTACCAAATCATCAAAGGTGCTCATGAGCATGATCTATTTTCCCAATCCTCTGATTTTTAGTTTACAAATCCTGTAACCTTCCTGGCATTTCTGTAACTTAGATCTTTGGATGGATGTTTGGGAAAAGGCAATGGTGGGAGAGAACTTGAGCTTTCCTTCCTTCCAGCCAGCAGTGAGCCCGTGATCTTTCCTCCAGCCCACACTTCTCTCCGCCCCAATAATTTGATCTTTTTACATTCTTACCCCTTCCTCTCTCTCTGTAGGCAATACCATATATAATTTGAAATATATCATGGGCATACTCCTTGTTTTGGCAGGAGAGGAACGAAATTCACTTTCATATGAATATGTAATTGCAGGCCAAGCACAGTGGCCAATTGGCTGAGGTCCTTGCCGTGCATGCTCGGAGATCCCATATGGGTGCCTGTTCATGTCTAGGCTACTCCACTTCCCTTGCAGCTGCCTGCTGGTGACCTGGGAAAACAGTCAAGGATGGCCCAAGCCCTTGGGACCCTGCACCTGTGTGGGGGACCCAGAAGACGCTCCTGTCTCCTTGCTTTGGATTGGCTCAGCTCCAGCTATTGTGGCTGCTTGGGGAGTGAATCAGCAGATGGAAGATTTTTCTGTTTTACCTTCTCTCTGTAAATCTGACTTTCCAATAAAGAAAATAAATCTTTAAAAAATATGTAATTGCTTGTCACTGTCCCGCAGCGATGGACTTGGTGCACGGAGCCGATAATAACACGCGTGGACCCTGACTGATGGTCACAGCCGAAGTTTATTAGGGGCATCAGACTTCATACACTGAGAGTCCGTACTGTTTCCCTCTCGATTGGAATTCCTTTTGTTTTGTATATTCCACCAGGTGTTCTCATTTACATGCTGTTTATACCAAAGGTAGTCATTTGGTTGTTGTCATGCAAATACTGTCCAATGGACTGCAAACCTGTGCTCACTGACCTTCCAGGGTCACAATGTCCTCCTACAATTGCTCACTTTCTTTAATCCAATCCTTATTAAACTTTGAGAGGCATACCTTGTGTGCCTTAACTAGGACACTGTGCGTTTGTCTGGATTTTACAGTCTTTTTTTTACAGCTTTTACAGATTTTACAGGTTTTCCACCCGACTGAGGAATACCCAATGTCAGGAAGGAGCACTAACCAACCATATTTATAAACTATTTTCTTAAGTTGTTTAGAGATATGGATGTTTCTAGCTGAAGCAAAAAAGAAACATCTTATATTTGGTTACTGGAAACATGTAACCAGCGATTTGAACATTACAGTCACATCGGCAGCATTTTTATAGCTATAGTCTATTAAACTTTACCCACCAAGGACAATGAATTGAGAAACTGAAGTTGAAATTTAAGGTAATGTGTGAGGATTTTTTTTGTAATAGTGCAGATAGACCTGAAGTATGCTTAGATCATTTAAATCCAAGACATCTCTCACTTTGGTTGATTTTTTTTCTAAAAATTTCCTTGAAAGCTGATCTAAATGAATCAAGTGAGATGAAGATATCCATCCTGGTCATGGAATTTCAATGCAGAAAAGAACTTTCCACTTGGTTTGTTAGTCTAAAATAACAGTACAAAATAAAACAATAGTACATTATTTAGACTTATTCCTTTAGTCCAACAGAACTTCCTGGTCCACTGTGCTGATTTTTTGCTTCTTTAACCTCTTTAGTAATGGTGTTCCTTGTCCAGATGTGATTACCTTCCCACAATCCTATTCACCATTCGTTTGTATCAGTTGTTCCTAAACTCAAAGTCACCTCCCAAGAAGTTAAGGGAATCAGAAACTTGGCTCTATCATGCTAACATGCAAGGCTCTAAGGTAAGCATCCTAGTAATATCAGCAACAGAAACAGCTCTTCAGCCTACTTTTAGGATCTTCTCTGGTTTTGAGAAATGCTTTCCTTTCATAAAATTCCAATTCTTATCAGAAAAGCAATGCTTCCTGTCATCATATGGAAACCTTTCTGTAGCCACATTTTAAATCACCTTTAGACTTTATATTTTAATTAATATGTTCTCTCTTTCCTCCTGGGCTGATAAAAAGACACTATTATTCAACATCTCCCATCTGGTACCTAAACCATTTTCACTGGATTTTCTTCCATATCTTTCTCATCATTGACATTTTCTAATTGCCACCCACTACCAGTCTTTCAGGTCAACTTTGCTTCTCAGAGTGACCCACACCAAAGACATTCATGTTATCTGAATATTCCTACAGTGTACTCAGCTAGGAAAGAAAGAAAACAAAACACAAAGCAGGACGTGAAAGTAAAACAGAACAGTGAGAGAAGTCACTCCATTTGTGAACTGAGAGCCCTGTGTGTTTCAGTTAGCATCTTTGTAGGTCTACCTTTCACGGATAAAGAAATGACCTTCAGGTTACCTTGTGAGAACTTAATTCTCCCGAGTAGGACTCTGCCTTGGCATACTTACTGAAAAGCACTAGGCTGGCGTTGGTGACTCCCAGCTTATTGGCAGCCACGCAGGTATAGTTGCCGTAGTGTTCCTCAGTAACATTGGTCACCGTCAGCGAGGATTGGCCCTCCGTGCTCTTGATCTCAAGGCCATTGGCGCTATTTATCCTATGAGTACACAAGCAGATGCGGAAAAAGGAACAAAGATGAAGGCATACCCTAGTAATTCCTTCCCTATCCCTACATCAAAAGAAAGAAGTGAAAGGGAATAGAATTGTTTGCTCAGTTCTTCATTTTTATTGTGCCATCCCTATGATCAGGACTGATATCTATCAATGGCGAAGACTCAGGATTGGGTGAGTCCACCGGGGCTTCACTTCATGCAAGAAGGACATGCAGTTGGGCACTGCCTGTTAAAGAACCAGCTTTCATGTTTATATTTCACTCAGGGGTTTTTGGGTTTCAGACCAACAGGTTTCAACACACTTGCCAAGAGATGGTAAAAGGAAGATTCAGCTACCCCAGATCTGTATAATTACAAGTGAACTTGACTTTGCCATGGGGTCTCTAGGACTACCTAGCGCAGTAGTAGGGATACAGTAGGCTTGGTACATACCTGGTGTCATCCCGGTACCACTCAAAGTCAGGTGCAGGCACTGCTGAGGCTTCACATTTGAGTGAAGCTTGTCGCCCTGTGGTGGCTTCATTGCTCTTGGACTCCGTGATAGTGGGAGGATCTGTAGGGAGGACAGGCACATGAGTGGGTGTGAGTCAGAGAACATTCAGTTTCCATCGGGAAAGAGTTAAGGACGATCAGAGTGCAAAGAGGCAGGAAAAGAATTATTTGAAAGCTTTCTTCATGTGAATTGTATGGTATGCTAAGCAGGACTTATCACAAGAGAAATAAGAGATGACTAAATCACAATAAGAATTATTTAGTTCACTTAAATGAGACATTTATCAGGGCTTTATGGAAATGGTTGTAGGACCCATCAATTATGCCAATAAATCATCAATTATTATAGTATCATATATTATTATTACAAATTAATGACACAAAAAGACTTGAGACTAACTTTATAATTTGATCTTTTTCTTTTCCTTCAAGGTGATTTCAATGTTTTTATAGTATTTCACATGGCATTGAGGAATCTGATGAAAAGGAATAGAAGGCTGGATTTTCCTGATCTAAGCTCAGCCTCATATTGAGAATTAAGAATTAAGAAATAATGCTAACTTCTTATTCAAAATAACTTTGCTCCTGTACTCCAGTGTGTCCCGTCATCAGCATCAGCTTGGTAAATTACATTTTTTGGGTATGGGCGAGGTGTGGAGATAGTAAAGTATGAATTCCATCCTAGTGCATAGAAGAATTCCTAGTCTTCTACTCTGAGGATTGTGAGTTGAGTCTTTCTGCCTAGAATGCAATTTTTAAAATGGCCTTGAAAAGAGCTCAGAACCACAACTGACACTCTTATTTCCTATGATTCTTCTCAGTCACCCTATAAGGTCGAGAAAGTGCCTACATGTCCCCATCGCCAGAAAAGTGTGCTCATGGGCTTGCTGGTGCCATGTTTGTGCAGGTTATGAGCCTTGAAGGGGGACAGAACTTTTCTACCTGAAGGTCAGAAGAAAATGGCAATTTGGCTGTGTACACAAAGGAAAAATAAGACCCAAACAATCTGTTTAGACTTTGTAGAGGAAAAAAGCTAATTTAGAGCAATTAGAAAAGTAAACTTTGATATAAACAATTCATTTAATCTCTGACTCTTTAGCACCTGTTCTGTCATTCTCATTTCTGAGTAATTTTTCTTCATACTCAAAAAAATAAGTGTTTGCCTCCTGAGGACTCTGATCATGTGAGTTTTGAGCCACTAGGACTGACTTTACTGTTAACTACACCTATAGTCTGGAAGAGCATCCACAAGGAGGGGTGCTTCCTCCAACACTGATGTTTCTTTCCAGAGAGGGAGCTAGTTTTAAATGATCACAAGAGTTCCATCTTTAAATCTGGTAATGGGTTGTGCAGGCCAGGAGTGCGCATTAGTTCAAAGAATAATAATCGGTGATACTGGTGTTGGCATTAGTGTTGTAGATGTATGAAGCATAGAACAGAGTTCATGAACTTGGATTTAAAGTGTGATGGAGCTGAGCTTAAAATTCCAGCTCTCTTCCTCATTAGAAAGTCCAGCATCTTTCCCAGAGTTACACTGGTTCAATTTCTTTCATCAGTAAGTGTTGAAACTACAGATAAGGGTTCACTGGGGTCTGCTTAAGCTTTGTGATTAACAGGATGGAGGAAAAAAGGACAGAGTTGAGATAAACTATATGAGGCTTTAGACCTCACCAGATAAGCAATGGATTAAATATAAAGAGAGGGGTAAAGAAGGAATGTCAACAAAAATAACAGCCAGGTTTTTTTTGGCTTAGACATCTAAACAATGCCATTGAGACAAAATACATAGGAGGAATCTACAGGATCTACAGGAAAACACTCGGTGAAATCTAGTTTCTCATCCTCACTTCCCTTCCAAATGTTAGGTTCTTATGCTACCACTGAATTCACAGTCTATGGCAGAGTGGTCCTTGGTGCTAGGTAGATGGGTCGTTCTTTTTGTGCTTCTGTTGGTTTACTCAATTTTGCAATCTGTAAAATGAGTTTTATCTAGTGTTAGTGAGCATCTGGATTGACAGATTTTAGGAGATGAATCCCTAACGATGAACATTGCTTTGCTAAAGCAGTCCTAAACCAGGGGTTTATTCTACCGTCACCTTTGACATACAGCTACGTGCCTCAACATAACATTGGCATAGTGGTGGCCTTCAGGTTACTCTACCTGGATACCAGGAACACAGGGCCAAGTTGAAGGGTTCTGGAGAGCTTTTACTTACTCTAGAAACTCCTTTGTATGTGCTTATTTTGTACACCTACAAAAGGAATATGAGAAGGAATGATTTCCCTAAATAAACAAATCTGGGAAGAGAATATCGGGCTTGTTTGGCTCATGGTTTTCTTCTTTGCCCTATTGTCTCTGGGCTTCTAGTGGAAGTACTTTGTTTCTCCTTCCAGAGGTCTAATATGGCCCCTGTCTTCGCTGCTGCTAAAGGGAAGGCCTGCTGCAGTCCCTGGTCAAGGGTGTGTGATGTCCCACACTAAGCTGCTGCCTCTATCCGGAATCTCTGACAACAGAAGCATGTGTGCATTCCAAACTAGTCCTTTCACTTATTTTTCAATTCTAAATAAGCTCTGGATGGCTAAACAATAGACTAGGGTTGGATACTTCAGAGCACATAAATCTCAGGTCAGGGGGATACTGACCAATTAAAAATGGCCAACCACCTGCTTATTTATTTAAAAGTTAAACAATTCTCTTGTGCCAAGGTAAGATCATGAGTACTGAGATTATTGTCCCTTATACTTCTCAAATGAAACCATAGTTCAGGCATGTTCTTTTGTGTCTTTTGGAAATGAAAATTTAATTCAATTGCACTTCATTTATCACAAATGAATTCTGCATAAGAGAGGCTAAGAAAGATTATTATAAATTATCCTGTGGCCTGTCTAGGGTAATTAATAGATGTTCTTGGTCAAAGTACAGTTACAATAAAAATCATGCTTCATAACAATATTGCACAGAGAGGTCCACTGTTGTACAGGACTTTGGAATAGCTTACAATTGTCTGAGGATATTTCCAATCTTTATTATTTTGAAATTTTGGGTTCTGAAAATATTTTAAAAAGGCCATTCTTTTTCTCATATCACAAATAAGCCTCTTTCAGTGAAAATGAATAGGATAACAATGACAATGGCCTAGAAAATAAATTAGCTTTGATTTCATCTTCCTAATATTGAGAATAACAGTATACAATAAACTGAACTAAAGAAGGAATTTATTAGGTATTATTTACTTTGTGAGAGTACTTTACTGTGGTTTAGATATCCTTTTCTTCTGAACAATGGCTCTAGGAGGGGAGTGCTATTAGCCTGTTTTAGGATTGAGAAGACAGGCCTACCGAGGGTTGTTCCCTGTCTACAGTCCTATTACTGGTACTGGACAGGATACAGCTTTGGATCAGGCCTGTCATGTTCTGACACCCATGCTCTGAACTCTGCTCAGCCACTTCTATTTGCACAAATGTTTTCAATTTTATATATTAATAAGGAAAGATATCATTTACAGTAAAATATGGGTAACCTGAAAACCAAATACTATTCTTCTCTTTGAATACAAATAGTGGCATAGCATGCAATGGCATAGTTTATAAATCCATATTGGGAGTCAGAAGGTATGGGCCCAATTTTCACCTGTTCAGTTTAGCTTGTTAGCACAGATATGACTGCCTCTCACCTATGACTATAGATGGTGACAGCTCCCTGCCTATGTGACAGGTTTGAGGTGAATATCAACCAAATCATACATAGGAGAGCAGTTTAACATCCAAAGTGATTTTTTTTCATCTTGTTGGGCTCATCTTTACATGGTTTCATGGAAGGTGGAGGGGTCTTTGAAATAAGGCCTATATTAGAATAACAAGCCTGCCACTCAGAAGGGAATTTTTTTTTTTTCACAAGTGATTTTTGTGGCTTTGCTTTTACCTTCTCTACATGGAAATTATATCAACTGTCTACCAAGCTTGTTATGTGATGGTTTAATGAGACAGCAGACACAGAGAACAGGAATAAAAAAAAAAAAGGCATCATCTATGGAGAATTCAGGAATCAAAATAAGTAAAGGCATGTTTTAACAAAAACAATACTAAACAAATATACTAATGGACACCTATGATAAACATCCCTCCTTGGCAGGGCCGATCAGACTCCTATACCTTCCCACTGTTTTGTCAATACCATCATGATGATTACATCAAATGCACATGGAATAATTAAGATACCTTTGGTACTCTGAAGGCACCCAGATAATTATTGCAAAATTACAGTAGAAAGTAATGGAATCCTGGATTTTCACTGACTACCTGCTCGGAAGTTCTCATAGTACACTCATAGACATTAGAGAATATCTTTACTCATACCTTTCCAAGTTACCAGAATAAACTTAAGGCCAGTATGGTCACTGGAAAGGAACAGCAAGGACAGCTTAGAATATTGTCTGCTTGCATGTTGAACAGATATTTTCTCAATATTCTCTCATTCGCTATTTTTCAAACAAATTGTGGAAAAGTCTAGTTACAATATGTTATCTAGAGACACCAGGTGTGCCCATTCCCAGCTATCTGTTTTGTGGCAATTTTTCCTTCCTCTAGGGAAATGGCTATCACATTGTGACATGCCGGTTGTGAAATGCCACCATCCCATGTGTCCCAAGAATTGTGTTGGTTGAATTGGTTAGATCTAGGCACCAGAGTGGAGCAAGAGTTGATCTCGAAGAAAGTAGCTGGTGAAAAGCAGGATCAAGTGAACTTTTTGAAAAGAAAACTTTTTAGCTGGGAACATTAGATAACAGGTGGGAAGGAACCAAGTTTCAGGACTGGAAGCTGCTGTTGAGAAAAATTTCTCCAGGGGATCAGAAGAAACCAGAAAAAAAAGAGGACCTAAATAAAGCTAATGGTATGTATTAACTGGAGAATTATTCTGTGCTAAATGTTACTCCAAGGATAGTAGGCACTAAAGTGAGGCAGACTCACAAGCAAACAGTTCTGCTGTACTGCGATACTGTGAGAACACCTGGAACTTGAAAAGAAAGGATATGATGTCCTTAAAGCTAGAAGAAATTAGCAGCTCTGTTATGGGTGAAATACAGGAAGCCAGAAGTTCTGTGTACTAAGCATATTTAAATGAGGAGATTTCCAGCTGACAATTTAGCTTTCTGTAAACTCAAGGGCCTCCCTCCATTTAGAAAATAGATTTCACATTTTCCTGAATATATGTGCAATGCCACTGACCTCGTATGGAGAAGGGTTATCAAGAGAAGTGAAAAGGAAAGGCTATGGAATCCAGGTTGTGAGCTTGACAAGAGAAACTGTTGTAGATCTCATTTATACTCAGTCTCTCAGTGCCCTGCAATAAACATCTGTTGGCAGCTGAGAAAATAAATCAATGAAGTGTTGTTGGGAAAAAAAGCTGCCACAGTGGTACTCAGGATTTGTTCATTACGATATTCAGCCAGTAGTTATCTTAGCCATTCAGATATCCTGACTTGATTCTAAAGTCTGTGTTTTGTAAAGGAAGAGGAATCCATGTACATCATGAGACGTTTTCAGAGCAGGCCGACTTGGAGGAGGCACCAAGGCTATTAATGCATGTTTCTCTGTATGCAGGGTCTTTAATAGGCTCAACCGATTCTGTAATTCAATCTTGGTGACTCAAACGTCTTGCTACACATGTTGTTGAGTGGGAAGAATTGTTTGGGACAGTTAGTGTGATGGCTATTTGTAATGTGACATTTTCACAGCTTATGATATTTTGATTTAAAAAAAGGTGATTTTAAGTAAAAATAATACTTTCCTGATTTGTGACCAGTATCACTTATGAAATTTGGAGAAATGTTAAGAGGACAGAGTTTACCCTTGAGTTTTTTCATCTACTCATTTAGTAAACATTTACTGAGCAGTTTCTGTAAGGTCAGAAAAGTGCTAGAGCCTGCTGATTAAGTCATACTGGGTGTTTAATTAAACCCCTTATAGTTTTTCTTATAATTTCTTGTAAGGAATCTTTTCGGCATCTTGAGGTTCTGACCATATTCTTCTGTGGTTCCCTTATCACTAGGAAAAGCTCACATTTTCATAAAAGTCTTTTCTTGAAAATTATCAGTATTTTCTTCTGTTCTGAATTACACTTTGGGGACAGTGAAAAAGGGGCAATGTCAGACTAATTGCGCTAATAATAATAGGGCCCAGACAGCTAGCTTTGATCTTGGGAACCATCTGCAATCCAGACCACTTTGATGTTTCCTACAATGGAAGCATAAATATTTTCTATTTACTCCATGATTGGACTTTCAGAAATCTAATTAAGATGAAGGTCAATTAAGAGAAAATGAAATCTTGACTCTAAAAGTCAGAGAAGGAGTAGAAGGCAAGGGCATGGTTACATATACATAAAAGAGGCTCACTAACCTAATTATAAACTTATACAAACACCCAGAGAAATTGCCTTTCATGTGGAAAAAGTCCTAGAGCATTTTATAACATTGAAATCATTAATGGGTCTTTGAAACACACCCAGCACTAGAAAAAGAATAGTAATAGTGGCATTTCAAAATTCTATTACTAAAAATTTTGGAGACAGCTAAGGATGAAAGCACTACAGAGCTCATCAAATGCTGTCGCCTGCTTCTTGGAAATGAATCCATAAATGTCCATGGCAGAATCAGAGCTACAGCACTCTCCAAGCTGTGGTGTGGAAAGATTCTGCTAACTGTTTCAAAACACTAAGATCCACTACAGACTGGATCATCCTAACTAAGTTGCTTCAGTTTTCAAATTCCTGAAGCACAACTCATGATACAGGTGAACTCTGAGAATTAAATATAAAATGAAAATGTCTTAATTCAGTGCTATACATAGTGGTTGTGAAAAACTAAAAACTCCTTTTCCTCCTGAGAATGTGGGTTTTAGGGTCAAATGGGCCTAACATCAAATCCCTTTTCTATATTTGCTTTTTATGGTGTGTTGGATAGGCAACTTTCCTTCCTTGACTTCAGTGTTCTCCAACTTGGAAACCGAGTCAATGATATGTAACTTGTTGAGAATAGACAGACTTTCTGTCAAGCTCCTTGCACCTGGGTAACTGCATGGAGGTTACAATATGGAAAGCAATTCATCACAACCAAAGCATACTTCCAAACAGACTGAAATTCATGTGCATACACATCTGTGTGCATACATGTCTGTACATACACATCTGTGTGCATGCATGCATTTGATGTAGCTTAAATGTGTGCGTATGTGCTCACATGAAAGGCACAGATTGGAAGAACTATCAAGGCATCCCTTTATTGCTGTCACAAGCCATAATTATGTGTTGTGGAGACTTGAGTTATGTAGAAAGTCACTCCTAACTGAATAGGATAAACAAATTCTCTTTATTCCTTTTGCTGGGTGACACACATCTTATGGATCCCCCCCCTTTTGAACTACATCTAAGGATCTTTTCATCTAAAAAGTTCAAAGTATGCCCACTTACCTATGCATCTCAGTGAAATCTTCGTTTCTAATGCCCAGACTTTGGGACAAATAGATAACCAAATTAATTATCAAGCATCCCTGATAGGCAGTGGGGACACATGTTATCTAACCAAATTGGCTTGAATTTGTTCCCAAAGTAGTTAAATAGTAAAGGATAAAATAAAATCTTTCAATGTTTCATTGTGAGAAATAATGCACTAATAGGGAAATTCTAGGTGAAGCATATTTAAATCATTGCTCTTTCCAAAGTTTATGACCCTCATTTACACAAAGACTAGAATTATGATTTTCAGAAATGTAACTGTTGCCTGATCATGTTTTCTTTATTCTGTGTTCTGAGCAAAAAGAGAGAAAGCTATTGTTAAGTGTATTGTGGGTTATATTTAGAAATGCTTGAGTAAGGCCTGAGTCCTGTCCAACGTATAAATGTGTATCCCTGACCATCAGAGCATCTGTTTGAAATGCAACACCATTTTCCCAATGGAACCGTTAGCATTTGTTGGAGGTATAGACATGCCCAGGGCACACAGTCCCTGTGAGCTCCTGCCATACTCACAGTTCACCGTGACCTTGACTTGTTTTACATCTGCCGAGGAGACTTCATTGGCAGCTTTGCACTCGTATTTGCCTGACTGCTCCCTGGTGATGCCAAGGATCTCCAGATATTCTTCTTCTCCTTCAAATTCTCTTCCTGAAAAAAAAAGTTTTATATGAATGCTTTTTTAAAGTCTAAAATATGCAGTAGGTTGCCTCATTTTTCCTTGTAAAAGCAGTAAATCCACCTGGCTTTTCAATAATTTGACAATGTGCTTTGTCTGAATCCAGATTCTGTGGAAAAGGATCCCAAGACGGGAAGTCCTGTGAATGTGATTGCATGAGAAGTGCTTTCAGGAATAACTGGTAAGAAAGAGAGAAAAGTGGGCCTTGGAAGAAAAAGACACCAAACAAAACTGGGATACCCACATATGTCACATACAAAACAATCTTGGCTCAGTTCTTCAAGGATTTCTGTGGGAGTATATGTCTCACTCCAAAGTTGTATGAATTGGGGGCAAGAAGCTGCAGTGTTTGCTCATCTTCTGGAGAAACTTCCCTACAGTCGTGAAATGCACACTTGGCCTGTGGGTGTTAGATGGCCATTATCAGGTACACCATGCTGCAAATAGCTTCCCACCAAAATGGTTATTAGAGAAATGGCTTCTTGGACACCACCCTTCTTGTCCAGATTATGTGGAATGCTGTCCACAAGCAACATGTGATAAACCTTGTTTTGCCCAGGGGTTTCCTCTTTTCTCTATCAAGCTCTGTCACTGCTGAGGAATTCAGGGCATGAGCCAGATCAATGAGAAGTACAGCAAACTTCTTCCGAGGGAGACCAAGAGAAATAAGAAAGAAAAAAATAGACTGGAATAGGAGGAGAGGCAGGTCTAAAGAGGGAAGAATTTGACCGAGGAAGAGATTAGCCAGGGTTGGACCAGGAAGTCAGTAGGTTTGAAGTCTGACTAAATTGAACTGTCCCAAAATCTGCTGCTACTTGTGAATGGGTACAACAGCTGGGGAAGGTGCCCAAGACCACAATTCTGCCCCATCGAATCTTGCTCCCGGTCATTGTACACCAAATGGTACCAATTAACAGCTCTGCCTAAATGCCAAAAGCTGTTTTCCTTTTCTGTAAATTCCCTGATGGCCAAATCGACATAGAAGCCAGGCAGCATGGAGATGAATTCACTTTCTAAATATGTCAGCTAAGCATGTTAACGAGGCTCCCAGTGGAACACAAAGCCTCTGATGACATCCTATGATTCAACTCTCAGGAGTACCCAAAGCTTCAAGTCTTTACTTAATTGTCTGTATCATCAATTTGAAGGAAATTTTGCAATCCCAACAATAATCAGTAGGAATAAAGCTATTTTGTTCTGAAATTCTCCATATTATCTAACATATGCATCTACTGAGATTAGTTTAGAATCAATCTATAGCTTTAGCTGGGTATTATCTATAAAAAGTAACCTTTTTTTTAAAATCCTTTTGCCATTATTCACTTCCCCAAATTCAAACAAGCAGTCAAATCCAATTTTATATATTGCAGAAGAAACATGAAATACATAATGTAGGAGGGAAGAAAACTGAAATTTTGCAAGGGGTTATAGGCCACTTGATTGGATTTACTGGACTGAACTTGGATTGAAGCAGGGAAAAGTAATCTTTGGCATACACTTCCTTCTAATGGCTTAAGAGTCATGTCTACTTGTTGCCAAAATTTTTATAGTTAAACACAAACACCAAGACAACTAAGAGTGATTTTGACAGTTGCTCCAAGCAGGCTAGTATTAACTAAAACCAAACCAAACCAAACCAAACCAAACCAAACCAAACCAAACCAAACCAAACCAAACCAAAAACTGGAGTTCAGAGGACTGTTGAGCAATTCCCGCCCCCCCCCCCCCAAAACCAGAACACCAAATGTCTGAGGACCACAAATCTCAAACATTCTTGGCAGACAGGATTTTGCGGACGCCAGACTTCCTGCTGAGATTGCTGACACCTTACTGGCACAGCGTGCCTAGAGAGGTGTGAGGCATTCTATCATAGTCCTCTTCATTTAGTGATTGTGGCCTGAACATATCTGAGTATAAACGAAGTTCTGTTAGATTCCTTTTCTAGTTAGATCTGTTTGTTTACAACTATTGGTTCCTGTAATTCACATTTACTCATCTTCTTACCTGATACCTGGTGATTGTTTCCCAAATTCCTTGAGACCTATTCTTAGAGTACCTTGTATACTATTGTTTAATTGGCTAGCAACTTTTATCTGCCTGCTTGTTCTGCCAAAAGTATGGTATAAGTTGCCCAGTAGAACTCAATAAAATGTGCATTGGCTCATCTAACCTCTGCATCCACTGTGACCTGATTCTTCTCGGCAAGGTCATCACACCTTGAGTCCTGGTCCCCACTAGAAGGACCTCTGAGAGAGGGGAGGAAGATGCAGTAAGAGAGACTCATTGATTCTGAGAATCATGGTGCAGTTTAATGATCAAGGAGATCAACTTAATTGAGAATATCTTAGCATTTCTTCCTTGCCCTGCTCCACACTGATAACATCTCTTCCCAGATAGGTACAGAGAGGTCAGTAGAAGAAAGAGAAAACAAATACTTAAAGATGGCTTACAACATTTGAATTGCTTTCCAAACAGTTTATCTTGGGTCCCTACCTGCATTTTAAATTTCTACAAGAAACTGCTTACAGGAAAGAAGAGATGGTTGTTAGCAATACCAGCTAACACTCTTCTAGTTTGTAAAGACAGCTCCTCTGAGAATAAACAGTAAATGGAATGAAGAAGAATCAAGCTGTATTTTGGGGGGGTTGGAGCCTGTGAGTTTCATGTGCCAATCTAAGTACTACATTCTCGTTTTTCCTAGATAAGCAGATAATAAAATAGATCCTCATCAGACATGGTTTCTACTCACACCTCTAGGAATGACTTTGCTGCTACTAGCCAAGAATACAAGGGCAGCTTTTCCGACAGTAATACGCATTTGAGACAGAGACCATCTCTCCTCTTGTTATAGTATTCCCCTACTGAGTCCACACATACCCAACAGCTGTTCACAGCTGTCTCACAGAGTATAGGAGTATAATGCATAAAGATTTTAGTGCCAAATCATACTTCGGCCCTTCAACCCAAATACACTGACAGATGTGAAAAACCTCACAACCCCCTTAGACTCTCCTTGTTGCTGCTTTTCCTTGTTTAACATTTGGGGCCTGAAGTTCGTAGACATTTCTTATTAATCGGTCGAGCTCACACCCATAGGTGAAGTTGCCCAAAATGCATCACTGTATTTCTTCACTTGAGAATCTCTTGTTAATGCACCAGAACTGGACACGAAATGGGAGGTTTCTGCTGCTAGAAAATTAAAATCCAAGACTAGAGGCTCTTCAGAAAATATACCTTACTCATAATATATCAACACAAATTAAGACTGTTTTTGGAAGAGTTTAATCACTCAATAAATGTGTGATGATCTAGTTTGCTATAGATGGAATATTTGAAGGAAGGCACCCTCATCAATGAGGGTAGTGCCTTTATAAAAGGAACTATACAAATTTCCTTTGCTGCTTCCACCATGAACGATATGGGCAACAATGGCAATCTTTGGATCTGGATGTGCATTTTTGGCAGACACTGATTTTATCCTTGCACTGACTTTGGGCTTCCCAGCCTTCAGAACTGTCAGGAATGAATTTCTACTGTTAGAGGCCAGTGTGATGTATCAACAGGCTAATCCTCTGTCTGCAATGCCAGTTTCCTATATTGGCACTGGTTCACATCCTGGCTGCTCCACTTCCAATTGAACCCCCTACATATGACCTAGCAAAGCAGTGGAGGATGGCCCTAGTCCTTTGGTCCACGGGAGAGCCAAGAGAAGCTCCTGGGTTCAGCTTGGCTCAGCTCTGGTTTGTTGTGGTTATTTGGGGACTGAACAGAAGATGGAAGATCTTCTCTCTGTCTCTCCTTCTCTCTGTAAATCTGCCTTTCAAATAAAACCAAACTTATCTACTGTTTACCAGAATTCTGTTGTATCTTATTAGATTAGCCTGACTAGAGTGGGGCAGTGTTTAACTAAACTAAGAAGCACAAGCAGATACTAGTATTACATTCAACAATCCTTTCATATCAGTGAGCCACTTCTGGTTTTAACAGCACTTTCTGAATCTTAAGTCACAAAAACTCTATGATACAGATTCGGCTGCTCCTTTCTCTTCTCCTATGTGTATGTTCCCAAGGGGACACCTTTTCCCCACTTCTTTCTGCTCACTCTGACCAGCTTTTCTCCACCCAGGGGATCTGCTTCCATTTCCTATTAAGCTCTTAAATAATGCTAACACCAGAAACTGATGCATGATCTGCTGTTTAAGTTTTCCATGGACTAGTCCTGTGGTACAACTTACGTCCTTCTCTTGTTCTTATCTATTATTTCCTGCCCATGTATAAATATTTACTGGAAATGCAAATGATCATATTTTGGTATTTTGAACATCTCAACCAATTTCCATAGGCTTGCTCACATCGCTGAATGTTATATTTATTCTGGGATCTCGTGTTTAGTTTAAATCTCCCTTTGCTTAATGTACTTGTGTGTCTCCTGGCAATATCCAGCTACCGGGCTAAATAACTCCTTGTCCTCCTTCGTGTATGCACCTTTCAAACTCTTGCATATAATTAACATATTTCTGTCTTAGTCACTGTTTGCTTAAGTTGTTCTTATTAGTCCCTTAATATTTCTTCCTAAGTCAGGAAGAAAGGCCTAGAGCTAACAGAGGAAAGTGATCTCCTCTGTGCTCTCCAATGTGGAGGCAAATCAGCCCGGAATAACTCCAATTAAAGCATGGCAGGTGCTGCCTTCTGCATACCACGCCCTCGGAGCAACTGTACTTTGGGGAAACTCACCGTTCACATCCACGATGTTGATTTATTTAGATTTTAAGGTCAACTTGGCATTTGTAAGTAAGAAGTTATTTAAAATTAAATACATTTCTATGGATCTTCTGCTTCCCTTTTTCCTCCTTCCTCTTTCCTACACAGCACATGTGGTATTGTTTTGCCTCTCTACAACACAGTTTCTTCTCTCTCTCCCCCAAGTCCCTTCTTCCCTCTCACCACACCTACCTCTCTCATCTATCCACCTGCCCTCTGCATACACACACAAACTCATTTATAGATATTTATTCTCAAGAATCATTGTACAAATTCACTAAATCAAGTGTTTGCTTACTAATGGGAGAGACTGTATCTTTAAACTTCCCAGTCATTTTCAAAGACTACGACCCTAATTATCAGTAGAGTATCTGTCTTTTGCTTTGAGACAGAGAACAAGCAGTTTTGAAAATTTGCTGTGACTGCTTTATGACTTTAAAGTTGCAGAATTCCAACGGTTCTTCTGTATTCAGAGGCGAGTGAATATGTCCCCCTCCACCGACTGTTTTGAGTCTTCCTGAGTATAAAATCCCGATTGATCAGTCTTTCGCCACAGGCAAGTGGTGTTTGAAACAGGATTGACATCACCTTTTCACACATAAATTTCAGTATTTACATATAAGTGATTGTAAACACATTAGCTATAAACACAAGTACACATCCTGTTTCATGAGAAGCAAAACTGGCATTCGTCTTGCAGGGTGGGTATGTATATGTATGTTTGTAGGGACTGTGGGTGGAAAGCAGCGTGAGCCAAAGCAAGCCATGAACTTCT